AAAATATCATGTTTCAAATAAAAATAATGTTTTGAATTAAGTATCTATTGTTAATCAACAGTGAATTAAAATTAATTAATTAATAATCAGCTCTTTGATATTTGATCGCAAAAAATAAATTTGGAAGTTCTTAAGGTCATCAGACATTTGAACGTTTGGGAAAGTTTATAAAGTCGTAGGCACTATATTCTAATGAACGTTGAATAATATTTAGGCCATGTTATGAGATGTAAAAGTTTAATTGAATCACTTAATATCATTTCTCGTAAGAGCTAAAACTTCATTGATATATTTTAATCTAATCTTTTTATATTTAAAAAAAAAAGTATTTTAATAATTAGTAATTTAATATTTAAGTAATTTTATGTAATCAGTACCTACCGGATTTACTTAAATTTTTTACTATTTTTTGTAGACTAGGGTTTATGAAACTCTACAAAAACTGATTATTAAAAGGGATTTTTATACCCTTTTGAATTTTGTTTGTTTCTTTGTTTTTGTTATTCTTGAGAAAAATTGATTATAACATCAGAAAAACGACAACGAAATAACTCGGAATGCAAAATTGAATGGAAAAAAAGAAGGAAAGAAAATGCAAATCAGATAGAGGAAGAGGTAATAGGATTTGAGCCCACGGAGGAAGGTTAAGAATCTAATAATCTGGAAACGACAACCCATCCAGTTATAACATCTGTTTCTTTCAGCCTTAAGCATCTTATAAAAACAACCATTTATTTCATCAATATAAATACATATTATTCCACAGAGTCAATAAAATAATCTAACATGAGTTCGTAAAGCAGCCTGATGTATGCTTGATCGGTAATTTACTCTTAAGCCTCGCGTTTGATGCTTCAGAATTAAGTCCAATCAGTCCAATTGGAAAATCTATTTCTTTTTAAACAGTATTAAAACATCTTTTCGAATTAAAACTTAGTATTCAAAACTTTATCTCTGGAGTAGCTAAGAAACAAATTTTAATAGCTAACAGTTGTGGAACATTTGCTCCCCTAAACGAATACAAAAATAGACATGGTGTTCTTTACCTGCAGTCTGTGCCATGCTTTCCCTTGTCTTTTGTTTTGAATCTTTTCATTCCGAAAAGTCATACACCCGTCGAAATGTGTCCCCGTTAAAAATTCAAAATTTCGTCAAATTGTGCTCCCCTAAAAAATTTTGACGGTGAAACTTACGTACAATAAAGTAGAAACAGTATCATATTTAAATGAAAAAAGTTGGACTTTCGTAATCGTTTGCTCTAAAGAACCTTGGAGATACAGATTTCAGTTATTCAAAGAATTCAATGGTTAATTATAGGTATATATATATATCATATCCAAACTTCACTATTTAATTGATATATATATATATATATATATTTAAAAAAATTAAATATTAAAGGTTTGAAATTTCCATACACCACTTATATTTATATAAGTAACTATATTTATATATAGTTACTTATATAACTATATAGTTACTTATATTTATATAAGTGGTGTATGGAAATATTAATAATAAATTTACTTAATTTATGGAAATATTACTAATAAATATTTAGTTTTTTACTTTCGTGCCTTTACTAGGTAAGGAAAATATTGCAATCGGGTCAATTCCAATATACGGTTTTTGACGGATCTATACGTTTCAGAGCCCCTCCGAGTCCGAAAAACACATTTTTAGCCATTGGTCTGTCTGCCTGCGCCAAGATTTTCTCGGGAACTACTGAACCGCTTTTGTTGCTTCTTTTTTTATTTTGTAGGGTTTTGACTACTGATGCATGTGACAGAAATTGGATACTCCACGCGCAATAGCTGCTGCGCAATAAATGAAAAACATGTTTTTTCCATATTCTAGCGCGAAAACGGCTCCAACGACTTTGATGAGTCTCTACTATAATGTTCTAATAATTGTCATAACAATTTTCGTATATGGACTAAATTCTAGAGAAAATACAGGAAAAAAAGTTGTAAAGAAAAGAAAAATGTTTTGGGGCGAAACTCGCTAAATATATATTCTATGGTAAAATTTATAATAAAACTTTAGAAAGGCAATTAAATTACCAACAAAACAAAAAAAAATCATCTGAATCGAACCAGTATTAGCGATGCTACAGTATTTTCTGTTTTCTATTTTCATTTATTACTTTCCTACCTATATGTAAAGATATAAAAACTTCTGAAATAGGCAGCAAAGTCGTGTGAGGGGACAAACAAGATTGTTTGTTTTTGCCATACAATGTATCTGACATTGTTGATTGATTGTTATTATTCAATCTCTGAATATATTTATGTTATAGGCATGATATATAATTTGTAATTAATGTATTAATGATCAGTAAGGAATCAATTAATTTTTTCTTAGCTTATGTTAGATATCGTTGGAATTTATCCTCTTTGAGCAGCAGTATTACAAAAGCAGGAAATGTAAAATATCTTTTTAGTAAATGCATTGTCAATAGTTGAATATTACTATCAGATTTAACTATGAGTAATAGGATAATTAGTAATTGAGATAGTTTTACCAAGCATTCATATTGTATATAATAAGTTCATAAAAGTTATTAATTAAAATTTCATATAATTTTGTGGATAGAGTTGATGTGGCTCTATCCCGTTTTCCGATAGCAATATTTCCTAGCTGTAATCCTTTTCCGAACCTTTACAACCAAAAATCTTCTTGATTTCTTTACTCCTTGTTCCTCTGTTCATTCGTTCAACACGAGATCCCAACCCTCAAACCTGCTTATTCTTTCTCATAGAACTGTTTCCTTAAAAAAATCCTTCGTTATACGTGCTACCTCGTTTTGGAATTCCCTACCAACCTCTATACAGAAATTCTCATCCTTGACTTTCTTAGTTACTAAATTATTTGATTAAAAATGGACATGGTGTCCTTTACCTCCGGGATACGAATGTAATCTACGATTTTTCTAATTCTAGTTAGCTCGTACTGCCTTTAAGAAGAGGTGGATAATAAAATATCTTGGGAGGGAAGAGATGTGCCATTGGCATTTGGAGGGGGGATGTTTACCCCTGTAACGATTCCACTCTTATTTTTAAATCCAAATAATATGACTAGTACTGAATTTATCGTCCGTATGCCAAAGATCCATGTGATGATTTAGTTGTTTATATATAATTCTTTTTCCTGAAGAATTTCAACGTACATTTTGGTTCTAAAATAACTGAATGATTTTTTAACAAATTTTGAAATATTTCTTCATATAGTTCTATGTTATCTGTTGTTAATAAGGAGTTAGTTGTAATATTCAACATTAAAAGTATCATACATTAAAGAATTTTAAAAAAATGAATGTTAGCTGAAATCAAAATGTTGTTTTAATTTTATTCCTTCTATTCAAGACATGCAATCTGAAAAAGATTTGAAAAACTAAAATTTTCGATATTAGGTTTTAATTGTTAATAATGTTTTAATCCTGTTTTTTTTTAAATTGATTTTTTTTTTCAAAATGGTCACAATGTAGTCTAAAATCTCTTCCTTGTATAGTATCTTTCCCCTTTTAAATCTATGGAAAAGGCTTTTGAAATTATTAGATCTTTTGGTCAAGGTACACGATGATGGTTTAGAAAACTGAAAATTTAATAGTATGAGATCTCCTACCTTCGTGAAAAATTACTCAGAGTAATTAGTGAGGCACTTAACTTTATTGATTAAAAGGTTTGAAGGAATGAGGAGAAATAGAAGTACTCCACTATCAAGAACGTGTGGTTAGCCTTTAAAAATAAAAGAGAATCCTTTATATATCATCAAATAAGCAAGCAGGCGATTTTTAAAAATATATTTTTTCTGCTAGTTAATGTAAATTTAAATTCTGTTAATGGAAAGGGAGAAATTCCTGGTGCAGACATAACTCAATGGGTGAAATATTCTTAGTATGTTCTTGGTTTATAAAAAGAGGATATTATATTGCGCCAAAAAATTATTTAATGACATTGTAAAATTTTATTTAAAGTAAATTATACTATCCATAAAATTAATTGAAATTAATAACTGAAAGGTTTTGTCATGTTTGGGAGAGAGAATTGAAGTTTAAAAAAGTGTAACTATTAGACTGGGTGAGGAAAAAGTATAGCTACTGTACTGATTATTATTATATGCTGTTGGATTAAGTAAATTTAAATGTATAATAAAATACAAAAACCAAAATATTCGTCAAGTAAAGTAAGAGAAGTTTATAGATTGGTTTCTAGCACTTTTTGTGGCATTGGGGCTGCTCAGTGGTATGGTACTGAGCTTCCAAATGCTAAGGGTTCCAGGTTCGGATCCCGACTCATGGCAGTAAAATTATTTATTCTGTTTCATTGGCCGTGTGACGAACCTGGGTAGGTAGACCTCTTGGGGCAAACCCAGCCTCTATAAAGTGTGTACCCTTAATTAAAATAACTAACTAAGGGGAAAAACCTGGTTGTTGAGCGTGATGTCGGTCAAATCACCTAACTGCACAACCGTAGACCATGATACATGCAGGTGACCATATGTACATACATAAATTCCGCTTGTAAATTAGAGCTGTCGGCATATTAAGAGAGTGAGAACCTTTATCCATCCCCTGAAGAATACCTCTATGTTATTTTGTACTCTTTGGGTACGTTCCCTACTATCAGATTGAACTAAAAATGAAAGAGGAGTAATATTAGTATGCAGTTTCAAGGAATATGATAAAAAAAATAAGGAATGTAGAAGATGATAGATACCAGATGTATAGTAAATGTGTTATTAATTGGAAGTAGTTTTTCTCAGCCGATGTAGTTTAAGTAATTGATTGAAAGATGATTCTTGATTATTCAGATAATCCTGGAAGTGGGCAAAATCTTTTGAAACCTTGAAAAAAAGTAATGCGAAAATCAATAAAAAATGAAAAAGTGAAATGCAAGAGATAAAATACCCAAAATATCAAAAATTAAGAAAGAGGAAATTTCTACGGAGTGACGCAATGGAGCGATATCGACCCTCCCCACTGTGCTGCTCTGCCTTCACCGAATCGGAGTTGTTCATTTCAGTTCATTTCTTCACTTAGAAGAGAATATGTGTTGTTGCTTGGATTTACTAAATTTTTGTGCACTTTTATTTTCGAAAAAATAATATAAATGGAAGAGCCATGCATCTTAACAGAACTGATATGTTGGTAACATTGGTGTAACCGTTTAGAGAGGTTTCGTAGATTTCTACGTGTTCTGCTAAACAGCACTCATATTATAAATATTGCCGATTAGAAGCTTGTTAACTTTTGATTTTACAGTATAGTGATTCATCACTGAAGATTGTATGTTTGGCGCATTTTGAAACCTGATACCCTTTGGATACTGATATGGATCACGTGTCTTATATCTTATTCAACTAGAACATGATAAGTAATGAATTTTTAGAAGATTTAGACACTTACTTATCCGAACATAGTTACATTACTGGTTATGAACCAAGTGAAAATGATATTTTAATTTTTGGCCTCATGCCAAAGGAATTAATCACAAAATTTTGTAACTTAAGTAGATGGTATAGGCATATTAGTTCTTTTAGTAACTCCAAACACATATTTACGAAACCTCCCAACTTAAATCCTTCCTTTGAATTTTCCAGATATATCCAAAAAATGAGTGCAGTTGAAGCAAAAGTACAGACTAACAAGGTGTCCAAAAAGGATAAAAAATCTGAAAGAGTTTCAGAACTTAATCCTTGGCCTTCATACATTGAAGAGAGAATTCAGTTATGGAACAAATTCAAGGAAAAATATGAAGAAGAACTTAAAAACAAAACAAATGAAGATATTAGTATTACTCTCCCAGATGGAAAAGTTATTGAAGGAAGTTCCTGGAAAACAACCCCTTATGATGTTGCCTCACAAATAAGTAAGGGTTTAGCAGATAACACCGTAATTGCTAAGGTAAATGGAGTATTATGGGATTTGGACAGGCCTTTAGAATTTAGTTGTCGGCTCCAGCTGCTGAAGTTTGATGATCCTGAAGCTCAAGCTGTCTTCTGGCATTCCTCTGCCCATGTGTTAGGTGAAGCTATGGAAAGAGTTTACGATGGTTGCCTGTGCTATGGACCTCCAATTGATTCTGGTTTTTATTATGACATGCATACACCTGAGCAACAGGTTAGTAATCTTGATTATCCTGTTATAGAAAACATTATGAAGTCAATTGTGAAAGAGAAACAAGCATTTGAAAGATTAGAGCTTTCTAAAGAAGATCTTTTAGAAATGTTTAAATATAATCAATTTAAGGTCAGGATTTTAAAGGAAAAGGTGGATTCACCAACTACTACTGTTTACCGCTGCGGTTCTTTAATTGATCTTTGTCGTGGACCCCATGTCAGGAATACTGGAAAAATTAAATCACTTAAACTTACAAAAAGTTCCTCCACTTATTGGGAAGGCAAAGCTGATGCTGAATCTCTTCAAAGAATTTATGGTATATCTTTTCCTGATAACAAGCAAATGAAGGAATGGGAAAAATTCCAAGAGGAAGCAGCCAAACGTGATCATAGAAAAATAGGTAGAGAGCAAGAGTTATTTTTTTTTCATGAATTAAGCCCTGGGTCATGTTTCTTTCAACCTAAAGGTGCCCATATTTATAATGCATTAATTGAATTTATACGTTCTGAGTATAGAAAACGTGGCTTTCAGGAAGTTGTTTCTCCTAATATATACAATGTGAAATTGTGGCAAACATCTGGTCATTGGCAACATTATGCAGATAATATGTTTTCTTTTGATATAGAAAAAGAGCAATTTGCTTTAAAACCAATGAATTGCCCAGGTCATTGTCTTATTTTTGATCATCATATAAGGTCATGGAGGGATTTACCTTTGAGGATGGCAGATTTTGGAGTACTACATCGCAATGAACTTTCTGGAGCACTTTCAGGTCTTACGAGGGTAAGGCGGTTTCAGCAAGATGATGCTCATATATTTTGCACTGTTGATCAGATCGGGCAAGAAATGACTCAGGCGTTAGAATTTCTTAAACATGTATATTCCATATTTGGATTTACATTTCAGCTTGTACTTTCAACTAGACCAGAAGGCTATCTTGGTGAATTATCTGTTTGGGATGAAGCTGAAAAGCAATTGGCCAAAAGTTTAGATGATTTTGGACAGCCTTGGAAAGAGAATCCTGGTGATGGAGCTTTTTATGGTCCGAAAATTGATATTACTATACAAGATGCTCTTCGCAGATCACATCAAACTGCTACAATACAGCTTGATTTTCAATTACCTATTCGATTTAATTTAAATTATATTGGAGAAAATGGAGATAAAATTAGGCCAGTTATGATTCATAGAGCCATTCTTGGATCAGTTGAAAGAATGATAGCAATTCTTACTGAATCCTATGCAGGAAAATGGCCATTTTGGATTTCTCCTAACCAAATAATGATTGTTCCTGTAGCAGCTCCATTTGATGATTATGCCTACCAAGTTAAAAAAGTTTTGTATGATGCAGGATTTAACTGTGAATGTGATTGTGATACTGGAGATACCATGAATAAGAAAATACGAAATGCACAATTAGCTCAGTATAACTTTATATTAGTGGTGGGCGAGAAAGAAAAAAACAGCAATACTGTTAATATTCGTACTCGTGATAATGTTGTTCATGGTGAGATGACCTTAACAACTTTGGTTGAAAAACTTACCAAACTTAAAACTTGTCGGGCATTGAATAATGATGATGTTTTTTAGAAAATTTATTTCCATTGCCCCATTGATGTTCTGTCAACAGAAAAAATCATTGGTCTTGGCCAATTACATCATTATTAAGGCATCAAATTAAAACCTGTCTTGATTTTAAAAGAATAAAGTGTTTTTATGTTTTTTTAAAATTTTGTAATTATTTCCTATTTCAATTTAAACTACTTATGGAAATCTAGATTCAGTTAATTTTATTAATTTCATATTATTTATTTAAATTAGACTTTTTGTTATAAAAAAAATAAATCTTTATGACTGGCATTTTTGTATTTTTTTCCCCCTATAAGGTTAAATACAAAGATCTAATATCAAACCTTTAAGATCATAAATGTATCTTTAAAATATGTCATGTTGTTAAACCGTTTCTCTCCCACAGATATATTACTTAAATTACTATTTAACCTTACTTACTAGCTAATCTGACTATAATTAGTTAGCATACCAAGGGCGAACTTCTGTGGCATTATGTTGAAGCATTTTGTAATATAAGCTTGTGGAAAAATGTTTTGTATTATGAGATTATGTTTTATTAAATATATTGTTAAAAAAGTTTTCCCTAGGGCTGCCACCTAATTATTGCCAAGATGTAGTAATTAAATACTTAGGTTATTGAAATGGACAAAATACATTTGAATTATTTCTACTATTATTAATATGTTTTCTCATTAAAACTACATTCCATTAGTCACAAATAAAATTATTTGTCCTAATTTATTTTTCAGCTTTCTAGAGCCATTTTCAAATGTATTTAATAAATTTTGTTAATATATTAAAATTATTTCAATTTTAAGTTTTGCATCATTTAATCACTTGTTGACATACCTGAACATAATAAAAAAAAAAAATTATCTTTCATTTAATCTACTCCATTTTAAATAAAAATGTACAATTGCCAAATTCTTTATCAATTTTTCTTTAATTGCTAAAACTGATAATTGCTACATAATAATTATTCTTAGAAGCTAAAATTATAGAGATGTTGGTTGCTAAGTTAGTTATTTCTGATGTCCATGCCCATTTTCATGGTACATTTAATTGGCATTGGAGACTAGGTGGATGGGTTTAGAATCTGATTCTAATTGCTGTTGAAGAGAGCTGAAAAAACGGTAATTGGTTTTAGAAGGTGTCCGGTAAGTAAAGGAAAATATTTAAAGTTTACAAAACCGTCCTATTTTCCACAGGCAAGCAGGGAATTTCAGTTGAGTTTTTTTTAAGTATCTTTTTTCTTGAATAGGAAGTGATAACTAAAAAAATATTTAATATAGGCAGAGATGTGCGAAATCGGAAATAATGATCACAACTGAAAATAAAACTTAATAACCATGCCAATTTTAAGTCCATCTATGAATTATAAGTAAGGTAAGTAGAGTTGGTAATTGTTAAAAACAGTTAAACTACACCAAGTTCTACTTTTCATAAAATCGCAGATATTCATAATTTTTTTTTATCACCCACCAACAGAACTACAGTTACCATACTTTAAGAAAAAATCTTAGCATAATATTTAATTCCACATTAATTAAATTTATGTTTGTTACAGATTAGAGATCAACCTCTAATTGTTTTTCAAAAATTATATGTTCTGATATTCTGTCCTCTTAAATACCTTCGTTTTCAGCAATAAAGCTTTGATAAATTATTACAAAGCTTTAGATTTTTTTTCTCTGTGATGGATTGTATTTTAGCGAAAGTTTAGTTTTTATTTATTAAAAAAATACTGCTTTTCCAAATATTTATCATCTGTTTTTTTTTGGGGGGGGTCCTTCCCTTCCTCGCCGTTAAGGCTATACGGGATTTTCCCGGGCCAGGGAGTGTGGGCAGGGATTTTAAAAGACTCCCCCAGCACCGGGACGCGAACTCGTGGCTATTTTTATATCATTTGTCTAGATATCAGGTTGCCGGGCAACGGCGGTGCAGTGCACAGGCTTTAGCCCATTCGGCCACCACGCCCACGAAATATTTATCATCTAAAGTGATAATTCATTAGTGTTTTTTACATTGATCTGTGTTTAGGAAACTGATCATTAATATATTAAGCAATCAACTAAATGTTCCTAATTCTATTTTCATATTCATAAAAATTATTTCAAGCAATAATAGGGTTTCCTTTTTCAGAAATGTTAATTAATTATAATTAGCCATTTCTTGAAATCAATTGGCCAATGTGAATCAATTGTAAAGTATTTCGGTCACTGAAAAAATGTTAACATAAAGTGAAAACTAGTAAATACAATATATTATGAGTAGGGTTGATTAAACACATTTTTTCATAATTAGTGGAAGGTTCACCTCAAATATTTAATACAATCATCCAAAAATTAACAGTCATTTTTTAAAATAAACTGCTTATTGTGTTAAAAATCGAGTAGCATTTAACAATTAAAAAAGAAGAAAAATATTAATATATAGTATATCAAAAGTATTGGTTTATGGAAATAATCTCTAACAATTGAGTAACCTCAAGACAAAGTTAAATGGACTTGAAAATTTGGAAGCTTTCATTAAATTCTATTTTCAATATATTTTTTTTAACCTTGATTTTCCTGATGCAAAGTATCTGAATCAAGAGATTTTTTTTTTAAATTGTAAAGAATATCCACTTCTACCTAATTTTTATATATTTTCTGCTAAATGGGATCTTATATTATATTATCAAAAAAAAAAACTCATTTTTTTAAATTCTCCTATTTTAAATTAAATTGTAGTAGTTATAGTGATGGGTTTTATTTGTAAAGTTGGAAGTATTAAGGTGGCCAGGAATGTTAATGGATCTGTGTTTCATAATATATAAACTCCCATTTGGTTGTTAAATTTCAATTAACCTTGATTTATCAAAACTAGGCGTAATAATGAGAAAATGTTGAACAGATGCTGAAAGGAGGACAAATATGTTAAAGTAAATTAAAAGTACAGTGGACTCTCTCTAACCCAAACCACATATTTAAAAAAAAAAATTGAAAATTTAATTTATGTATGTAGTGCATATATACATTTATTGATTAAAACTGTATTATCAATATCGTATGTGCTGAGGCTTAAATAATCTGGTTAAAAATACCAATTCCTTTTATTTAAAACAAAAACTATATAAAAATTTGGAAGCTTATTTATTTTTTCAATTAATCTTAGATGTAAAATTATATTCTTTGTTTTGCTATTGAAAAACAATTAAATAAGAGTTTTAAGGATTCTAAATTTTTCACTAATCCGAACTACCTTTGTTTTAATTAGTTCGGATTAGCAAGAGTCCACTGTTACTGGTTTTCTTCAATCAGCTAGTTATCGAAGGAATACTCAACGTGCCTAATTCTATATTATGATTCCAGTCCAAAATACCAGTTTTGCAGGAGAGTCAAATGAATGTTTAAGTTTACTGTAATTAACATTCCATCCCGATGTTTTTACATTAAATATAGAGGAAGTAGAAAATCATTAAATTTAATGTGAAGGAATTAGGAGGAATGCTGATTTACTGTAAACTATAAAACATTTAATTTTCTCTCCTGCAAAACTGGTATTTTGGACATTTGATATTTTTATCACCCTCAACAACAGAAGTGCTCTTAAAATTTCCACATTTACTTTAATCAAATAAATAGAAACTGGGTCAAATTTTAAGGAGATCTTCCTTTACAGTTTATTTTTTAATTTGTTTAAATAAAATAATATCAATGCTACTTTTTTCTGGTAAATATCTGATATGTGAACTAGAGAAAACTTTTTGTCTTAAGCATTCAGAGGAGTAATTCTAGATCAGCATGAAGGTACTTATTTTTAACAATATGTTTTATTTTAAATAAAGTGTTTCAAATTTATTATTGTGCTATTAGTTACTATTAAATTTATAACCATGAGGAGTGGGGTAGCTCAGTGATAGGGTACTGAGCTACCTATATTTCTTATATTAAGTGATAAAATATCAAATATTACATTTAATATTAATTTTGTATCTTTTTTGTCTCAAAGATCTCAATTAATTTATAAAGTCTCAATTTAAATCAATTAATCATGGAATTAATAAAGTGATTTTTTTTCTTTTGTTAACAATAACTACTAAAATAATCTATTTCTTTAATTCATGGCATTACCTCTTAAAATTTCCTTAATTTGTTTTTGCAAGATCATATTGTTTTCTAATCATCCATTTTCTCAATCTTCAATTATTTTGAATTCACATATTCCTCTCATAATTTGTTTTTGTTGTCTTATTTATTCTTTCCTCTTAATACCTATTAGAAAAAAAATGTCCTGCTTTCGAGCACAGAAATTACTTTTATTTCCACAAAATTTTTCATATATACTGATTCAAATCTTTCTTTTAATCATTTTTTTTTCCCGTGGCACAAGTGCACTACTGCCATGTAGGCCTATTGTACACCTTCTTTTAACCATTAGACCCCACTATATATCTGTCAACTGCTATCTTCCTCTGTGATCCTCCTGAACTTATCCCCATAAAATTGTATTCAATAAAAAAAATATTTTTTTCTTAATTAGAAACAAACTTATTTGTATTTTACTGTCTACTACCCTATCTCTACTTCCGTACAGTAAGGAATCAAATATGATCATTAATATGAATCTGTGGTTGCTTCCTGTTTCAGGTTTAACACATGCTTTCCTGAGACTGGTTAAAAATTCTTCCCTTACAAGTATGTATGTATGTATTGATAGACTTCTCCCCTACCAAAGTTCATTCCTTTTGAACTTATGATTGTTTGGATACAAGGATTTTAAAATTAAATAATTAGAATGGACTGAATTATAAATTTATTTTATTTCAATTTTGTATTATTTCTTGTTTTCATCTTTTTTTTTACTGCTTACCTTTTCTAGCACCTTCCAAAAAGGTCTGACCAAACTGTACTAATTTTGTATCGGTTATATTTTGATATTTTAGCTTCTTTCCTTTTCAATTTTGGGTCTCCTCCCTCTCTTATACATTTTCAAAAATATCAGGGTACTTTATAAGCAGCAGATATAACATAATGTTTCATTTGAACCCTCATAACAAACCTAATTATTGAAATGAAACGTTTCACACTAAAGATAATACTAAAAAAATAAACTGAATCACCATTCCTTTGTTTATTTGACAGCAGGGGGGAAAAAAAATACATAAAAAAATAATGAGGCTTAGCGAATCCGAGGGTTTGATGCCGATACCACCAATCGATTTTTACATCCATGCATCCATCGGCACCATCTAAACGCAACACCAACAGATCAGCCATAACACAATCTTTCCACCTTTACTCTGGTCCAAACCTCAGATGCTTGGCAGTCGGTACAGCACATATTAACTTTTTAGGAATTTCTCAGGCCGACTCATTACCATGTAGGGGAGCATCCAACAGGTGGCGAATGTGGGAATGGTCGTTAGAAATTCTCTGGATGTTCCTCCTGGCTAAATTAGATGGACTCGCTGACCTACAAAGAGAGGGACCATCCAGACTTGCTGGAGGGTGTGACGTAGGATTAAAATCCTACTCACATATCTACAGTTCACTAAATACCAAAGTCATGGATCTTCCTTAGGTAAAATTCTCAGTATCCCGAAACAAACTAGTTCTTCGTTCGGATCTCCGGGTGGAGGACTGCTATAGGGAATTCATGGCACAAGTTGAAATCAAAAAGAAATAAATAAAAAGTGATAATAATAATGTAAATAAAAATTAATATATAAATAAAATAAACAATAATAATAAAATAAAAACTGTATAATTTAAATAAAAATATATAGTATTTGTTAATCTAAACTAAATTCAAATAAGTACTGTATGAATATCTTTTGCACATTATATTGTTCAGTTTTATTCGATTTAAACATATTTTGTACGCCTGTGTTTGTATCTCTTAAGCTTGTTTATTATAATTACGTATTGTTTAAAAATGGGGGTTTACTGAAGTATTTGTTGAGTTGACACAATTTTCTCGGTCTGGGAGTATATGAATTGTTTAACTGTATAAAATTCCAAATCACATGTTGATTATTGTTGTATATCTGGGATAATCCCTTATGAATTTGTACCCTTCAAATTTTTTATAGTTTGAGTCGCATGTGTAACTCCATACTAGACAAGTATATGTTATTAAAGAGCGTATAACTGATTTTTCTAAATTTTTTTTTTTATTGGAAGGGAAGATTTTCTTTGAAAGTAGGGAGTAATTATAGAGATAAGTTTTTTAACTTTACTGCACAGCCAGTCTCATCCCAGACATCTTCTAATTAATTCTATTCAAGCCTCGGCTTAGAACATCATTTTTCTATTATTGTGAAGTTGTTGAACAAATTTTCAAACAGAATATTTTGCTGATATATCTTATACACAAAGCTGCATTTACGAAAAGTCTATTGCAAACATGAAACTCAGAATTCGGTTACTCCCCTCTTTCTGTTCTTCTTTCATTCCCATTAAAACTTATTGGGCTCATGATTATAATAAGCTCTGGTCTCTATGCCTAGCCATCTTAAATAAATGCTGAATTTAATTTAATTCATTCTGGTATTGCTGTTAACATTTAGTTAGAGTGTTAACATTTCTCAGTGTCTGAAAGACTTTTGGTGTTGGCAATAATTCAGAAAATATCTTGATCTGCTATAGAACGGACGAAAGCTAACTATAAATCACTGAAAAGTCTAACTAAAGTTTGCACCGTCGCTTAAAAAAACAATGGCAATGGTAGTTCATCAATTTCCATATATTTCTGCGTAAAGAATTTTTTAAATATAAATAAGACGAAATGGAAAATTTATTGATAAAAACTAAGGTTTAAGTCACGGAACAAAACAGCATTTATCTAAAACAATTAAATTAAATTTATTTCTCTGTAAATAGGCATTGTTTTATATTAAATAGGTACAGATTTGAATAAATTAGATAATATATCAAGAATGACGATAATATCCTGTATGTTAAACATCTATAAATGGAGACTGGGCAACAAAATATAAATTAAGTTAAACCAGAAAAAGCAAGCTCAAAAAAATATTAACAACCACCTAAACACCTGGCTGAATAGCACAACATATAACAAGAGACAATCATCAGAATTTACAGTTGTGGCAATCGCCCTAGTTTTTAGTCTGTCGGCAACCACACCCAGATTGCTTTTGTTTTAGGTTTAACTTGATTTTTTTGTTTGCCACTTATCCCGTTATGGATGACCAGTGTCATTTTAGAATATGTGTTAATTATTAACAAATATAATCAAATTTACTAAAATAAGAAAAAATTAATGTTTTTATTAAATCAGCACCCAGCTGTGTTATACAGACAGAATTTAATAAATTTGAAAGAACAAGTCATTTAACTAAAAACAAGCATTTTATTTTTGAACATGTTTTCAAATAAGTTAGAAGTTAAAATAAAATAATAGGAAATGAAAAATTTAATTTAATTTGGTAAACTGGCAGCAACTTTTACAATCACCTCTTTTGATAATGTAAATATTTTCATAAAATTATAGTTCAGCATCTAAGACTACAGTTTGACCATAATAAATATATACACTTTGAAAACTATATTGATTGATAGCCTTTAATGTTCTGAAAACCTGACAAATTTACAATCAGAAATTATCAACTGCAATACTATCTCCGTCAACATATCAATTAAATTCATTGTGCAATATGTTACATGGTTTTTAATATGTTTTATAATACAGCAATTTTGGTAAATCGAGATTGTATAAAATAATAAAATTACAATCCTAAATAAAATGAAATGTTTATTAAACTTAAAAATTAAATAACTTAAAGTATAACCCCATAAAACTGCAAATATAAGTCTGTTTTCAAAATAATTTGTGATTAACGATTAAAAATCAATCATAAACAACAAATAACTAACGCCTGGAACCTTGCCATCCTCCTCTTTGCATGCCTCCTCTACCAGGGCCTCCTCTTCCTCTTACTGAAAAACAAACAAAAAATATTTTTTTTTTATATTGTATGTTATTATTTTAATGGAAATTGGCATATTGCTATTAAAAAAAGTTGCTGTTATCATTATGATGTATCATTAAATTATATAATAATTTAAACATAAATTAAAAATGATACTGAACCTTGAGCTCTTAATATTCCAGATTTCCCTCTTCCAGGTGCTCCTCTCCCACCTTGCCTCTTAAACATGGGTGCATTTTTCAGCATATCAGGAAGTATGAAAAACTTTATTTTTGAGCCTCTTAAAAAAACATTTTCAACAGCGACTACTCTTCCATCACGATGAGTAACTGTAACCCCTTGCATTTGACAATTCATGTTATCTTCTGCTTCCACCAGTTTTCCTCTAAAAACTTCGCCTGTACTCGTTTCACAAGTGATAATATGCCCTTCTGCTTCATGTAGCACCTTAATTGGAACTCCAATAGACATTATCACTACTGTTTAAATATATTTTATTTTTGAACTTTAAAGTATATCAATTGACAGTAAGACCAACACTCTTAACAAAAAAGTATGTATTACATCAAGTGTAATTTAAAACAGTTGTTATTTTTTGTGAAAAAAAAATGTATGGTATTAGTAACATAAAAAATCAATAGTAGATTTTATATTAAATGGTATTATTTTAATGGCTGAAGAAAAAAAAGCGATGTATAAAAGTACGCCTTTTGTTTACAACGTTACTGTATTGTTTTGTTTCCTTTTAGGCTTTTTAATATTTAACCTATGTTAAATTACACAAATAAAAAATTAAGCCTTTTTAAGTTGTTTTTTTTACTTTACTTTAACAATTTTTTTCTTATTCAGTAAAATTTTCAGTTTAATAATAAAAAGTCGGAATTCTAATCGGAATAAAAAGTTAGTGATAAGATTAACACTGTCATTGTTATAGAAGTAATATATATATAAATACCAAATGACATGTGCATATATATACATCTTGTTTAATTTTTAAAAAAACGTAAATTAAAACAAAAAAAATAACAAGTAATCAAGTAGTTTTTTTTTTGTAATGTTGGCAAAGCATTATAGGTTACTATTAAGAAAAATTAGGGATGGGCGACAGTAGATAGTTTTCCACTATCGATAGCATCGATAAAAACTATCGATAGTTTAGTAACTTCCTAAAGACTTAAAGAGGATTTATTTATGCGGTTTTCTTTAGTTATTTACTTTAAAATGCTGAATAAGCTTAATAATAATTAACATTTATATTAGATACATTCTTAAAGATTTATTATGTTAAGCCACCAATAAAAATTATTAAATAAATAATTTTAAAAAATATTAACGGGAAAATACATGCACATAAAAAAAAATAAATTGCATTTACTTACCTGATTGTTGAATTCAAACAAGAATCATCAAAGACATGTAGGTATTATTGTTTTAACTATTTGGTTAATAAAGGAGACGAGAAATTGTATGTATTTTAATTTCCAAGATTCTAAATTTAATTTTGTAATAACACCTAGTTTAAAATATAATAAAACAGTAATGGCGTCTTTGCAGATTTTATAATTATATATTTTTTATGAAGAAATAAATAAAAAAAGTGAGGTAAGTATATTTTTTCATCGACACAACTGAAGTTGTAAAAATATTTATAAGGAAGTAATTTGAGACTGAATTATTTTTTACCTTGAAGGCTTTTTCTTGCTCAATTTAGTTTCATTTTTATATACTAGTAAGAATAGTATCAGACTCCTATCCATTTATTTTCTTAAGGTGGAGTTTCCATTATACAATAACCGTTTTCCATTATCAAATGTTTAACTTTTACATTGTCATATTATCACTATATCTCGTACATCAATAAATAGGTAGAAGAATGAAGGCGTGTTCCTAAAATTATTCCTTTAAATATATAAATTTTAAATATAATTTTTGTCTAACGGGAGAATACGAACTATCGATAGTCACTAGGACTATCGCCCATCCTCAAGAATAATGTTTATTTTCGTCCGTTAAACAAGTTTAAAGTTATAGGAAAATTTTGAGAACTAAATAGTATTTTTTTAAACTATCAAACTTGTATTCATGGGTTATTTTAAAACTAAGTATTTATTAGCACAACATTTCTTTTCGGTTAACATATATGAGGTTCGTGTTCTGAATAATTATCTTTATTAAAAAAATGTATTAAATTATTAGAATGATTCTATAACTTGCTATTATAAACCAGTTACCTTTTTTTTTTTTCAGGTGAAAGAGATGGAGAATCGTCGTTCCGCAAAAAACCTCTGAGAAGAGGTAATTATTTTAAATATGAACTTTCATATCACTAAAGTGTTTAAGTAATAATATTATAATTCTATTCACGTCACTAGCGGATCCAGGATTTAGTTTTGGGGGGGGCTTCAGCCCGAAACCTTTTTTTTTCATAAAAATAACGATAATTACTTTGGAAAAAAAGAAAGAAACTAACTACCTATATGAAATAATGTTTAAGTTATTCCTTAAGTACTTTTAATTGTAATTACACGAACAATAATACTTTAAGAGGTATTTTTTAAATTTTTTTTCCCATAAAACATGGTTATATTTTTCGATTTTGGGGGGGGGGGCTTCAGCCCGAAAGAACCCCCCCCCCCGTAGATCCGCCCGTGATTCACGTCATAAGTAAAATATCACAAATAAAGTAAACTATAAAATTCAACTTTGCTTATTTTAAATTTATTATCAGATCACATCTTATTTTCACAGGGACACAGTATCGTAAATAAGCTGAAACAGTAATTTAAAAATTCTTATCTTAATATTAGTGTTGTATAAGAATCAAGCTGGAAAACTATTAAGTTAGAGCCATAAAGACATTCTCAATTCAAGCCAGTAGTGGATCCAGAATTTAATTTGCCTTAGTAACGGTAGGCATTCGGAAAGAAAAATAAAGAAGCTATATAACTATATATAGTTATTCTTGTAAGCCTATCATATAAATACTCTGTACAGTAACAATAATTTCTTTAGAAGTAATTTTTTTTTCTTGACACGTGCTTACATTTATTAGCTGAAATACATGCGTTATAATTTTAAAATAGTTCATACTTTGATTGTTTAAGTGTTTAGTCCAAGACCCACAGAAACAAATATGGACTAATGAAAGCAAATTATTTTTTCCTTTTGGGAGGCTCTCAAATCTGTCTGAAAGCTCCCTCTCCCTCCGTGGATCCGCCATGCATTGAAGCATTCATACTCCTCAGAATTTTCCCCAAATTCAACTTCACCGCAACATTGAAAAGATGAATTCATATGATGAAAAGATGAATATCGCCGAAAAACGTCGACTAATCCATTAAACAATTTTTATTGCAACGGAATGATTTTTACACTGCATATTTCTTATCGCATTGATATCAAAATTTACATTTAACTCATACTTATTGTAAATAAGGAAACAAGAAACTACAAATAATTAAAAAAAAAAAAAAAACGTTTTTGAGGTTGAGAGGAAAAAAAGAAACATAGGTCTCCACGAAGACAAATCGTCGCTAGAACCCTTTCCTTTATAAATTAAAGTTGTCAGCCCTCAACGGAAAATTTCAGATACATAGCCGAATTTCAGTATGAAATAAGTTATCGTTTAGAATAAGTGTTAAATTTCAAGATTCCTTATTGTTCTCCTAAGAATTCCATCAGGCCCGGGCGAAGTGTCCATAAACATACTTTTTGCTGCCTTATGAACAACACTCAGTTCTACAGTTTCTAAATTCGGAATATTGGAAGAGGGTGTATAGGTGTCCTTCACATTATCATTTTTGTGCTCAAAGAGTGGCCAAACATACCATGGTACTTGAAAAATATAAAATAACGATATTCGGAGTCGTAAAAGGAAGCTCCCTTAACATTCTGCGGTTATAAACAAGTACAAAACATTTATCTTGAGGCCTTATCCGAGGGGCCCTAAAAATATGGGATAATAAACGAATATAATACAATTATTATTGTGATCAAACATACAACGATACTAGATAAATACAACTCATTAAAGGACTTTTGACTGCAATTTTTTTATGCTTATAATTTAAACAATCAACTACCCACACATCTCTAAAGTATTTTGTGAGATAATTCATAGTCGAGAATTCAATGTTATATTTTAAGCATTTTAATAATATTTTTGTATTTCTTTTACAATATTTTTTTTCTTTTTAAATAATATTTTTGTATCTTGCTTCAGGGGGCTGTTCATCATTCGGACATTCGTGTTTTGGAGGTCATGGAAAAAGATCAGAAGATTACTTTAGTCAAATAAGAAGATTTCAAAAAGTTTCCCCTTCGACAGACATCATTCGACAATTGGTGAGCCATTTCAAAAATTTGTATTAATAATATTTGAAAACATTGAACTTCTAGATTCTATTAACTGCAGTTAATATTATAAATGTTTTTGTTTTAGTTAAAAGCATATCATAGTTCATCACCTTCCTTGCTGGAATAGAATCTGCTGATTCCTAGAGTAAGACATGGAAAAAAAAAACTGTTAGATTTAAAATAATTTCAATGTGAATAAACATAAGTATCTCCAATATTAATGTATTCAATTGGTTTTGTAAAGTAAAGTTATTTTACTAAGTGGTATTTATTTAACAAAAACAATAAAGCATTATCCCCTTTCCCTCTGTCTCACGCAATCCGTCCTATGATGTAACATGCTAAATATCTTTTAACTTTTGAAAGAATAGGAGTCATTATATAGTGAGATTATAAATTTAAATTGAGAACATATACGGATCACACACAAAAGAATAAACAGAATTATTACAGTTACTTTAGACGTTTGTTAGAGCCACGTCATTAAAATGTTAATATAATTTTTTTTTAAGTTATGCCTCTCTCTAACGGCTTCCATCATCAGAGATCATCCAGTCCAGTAGGCCAGTCAATAATGGAGGTATAGCGATAGCAGGGACCTAAGCGATTCCTTCAGGATGCTTAGGATATGAACATATCAAAAGTCCTGATGTCTATCTAGGTGGTGAGCCGGGGAGTAAATATCACAATTTTTGGATTTTCGCTTATATCTCGAAAACGGTGCGTCGCAGGAGAAATATTGTTGGTAATATAAAATTTATAAAACTTTTATTATGTAGATTTTATCCGAATTCTAAACCATTTTCGAGCTACACGCTCGGAAAAGTTGACATTTTCGATAAGAAATCATTTTGCCTCAAATGTTTCATCGAATAATTTTTGATAACGTTTAAGCTATTCATCAGAGAAAGAAATTAATTTTAATAAGCTGAAGAGTCTAAAATTTCCTATTAGAATATAATTAATTAAATTTCCAAATAAATAATTAATAAAATTAAATTAATTTCAGGAAAAGTTGTTTTTGTCATATTCTTGACCCACAACTCTTGTTCGTTTGTCTAATATAATAATATGCATGGCCACACTTTAAATCCAATTATTGAATAAAGTAGAAAAAATAATGTTACTACAAAAATTTAATATTGTATTTTACGGATAGTTAGTCTCATGATAATTTTATTCAATTTTCTTAAATTAAATCCAAATACATACATTTATATTTAAATTATAAACCTCATTGTTACCACTGTTCTTAATAGTATACTTAGAACTTTAAATGGATTGACGTTTTATCCACTTTGAGCGTGAGGGTCTTGGCAAGTGTCGTTCGTCCATGGCATCTTCACCATCAGTAATGGATACATGGTGGGCCAGACCTACCATGCACTCCTCTACAACCCAGATATATTGCATATCTGTGTGTTCATTGCAACTATTTATTTAAAAAACGCCAATGGTCCCACAAATAAAGTGTACGCACTATAACAAAATGGCATCCAACATGGCGGATTGTCGACTTCTTAGTTAGTTAGTTTTTCGATCAATAAAAAAAAAAAATGTTTATAAAATTTCATTTAATATGATTGCTTATTATATTTTTTTCTACTTTACTATTATATTTTTAAATAAGGTTATTGTAAAATCTTTATTTGAAAAGTTGTAAGGGAACAAGTTCTAGCTCCGAAATAACAGGAAAAAATGGAAAATAAAGATTCGAGTAATACTGAAACTAATTAAAAATAAAAGTTTCATTTCAAGCCCTTCTATTTTTTAACATGGGCAGATGAGGCTTAAAAGAGGTCTAGCTAGCGACTCCGGTTCGAATTCGGCCTGCGATGATTAAAATTTATTCTGGCGGACCTTCGCATTCTGGTTAGAATAGGTTTGGTTGTGCCTCTAGTACAGCCCTTTCCTCCCGTAACCAGAAACGGCGATGTAGGAGGTAATCGAAAAAAAAACAATAGATGAAGATTAAAAACATGATCATCTTGTCAAAAACTAGAGTACATCTTTCGATACTTCTTCTTCATAAGTGACTCCACCTCACCAATCAAGCTTTGGAAGAACTGAGCCTCTCCATGACCAGCCCAGGTTACGCAGCATTCTTCTATTTCCTCTAGAGATGGGAAATTCTATTTGTTAAATGAATGATTCTCAACTATTCATTCATTGTGATGAATCGATTGTTATGAACGATTCTTCGATTGATTGTTTTCATCTTATTTTTTCTTTAAATTAAAAAAATAATTTTTATTGAAAAAACAAAACAATAACAAACATTATGATTATTCACGCAAAAACATTTCTTCTCTTATTTTAGCTGATTGAAATTAAAAGTGCTGGCTCAAATATATACAAATAAAAAGTCTTGATTCTTGTAAATAGGAAGGAAGTTTAAATTGAATAGAAAACTATTTTTTTTTTTTTTTTTTAATTTTACATATTAGATTCTGGTCTATGTACATAAATCATAAATGAAATAAAACGAAAAAACCAGGGATTAAGGTTGCTTTAGAGCAAATTATAAATTCAAAATAAATAAAATAAGACAGTTTGAACATACATTAAAGTTATTATTTACAAAATAATAGGTAATTAAAAATAAAAGTACAAGAGAGAGAAAAAACTGTACATATATATATATATATATATATATATATATATATATATATATATATATATATATATAATTAAACCAAAAAGAGAGAATAAATAAATAAACAGTTAATAGTGATATAAATAAACGTGGGTTATAAATGTACGAAGTATGAAATGATCATGGAAGAGTAAATTCCGAAAGTAAACAAAACAACTCCTGCAACACAGCTGGAATATTTCCGAGGACAAATCAGTTGAATCAACTGACTCCTAGTGAATCGGTGAAAAGACAGATTCGGATCGAATCGGTCGATTCACCGGGTTTATTCTAGAAAATCTTCCAGCTTGTTGCAGTCTTTACTTTCGAAATGTATTCTTCAATGATTATTTCAAACTTCAGACATTTAACAATATAAACAATGCTTATTTATATTACTATTTTGTTTATTTATTTTTTCGATCTTTTTGGTTTATTTATATGTGTATAGCGTTGGTTTCCTCTCTTGTCCTTTAATTTTTAATTACTTATTGAATCGACCGATTCCGAGGGAATCGTGATTCTTTCAGAGGAATCGCCTCTTTGATTTGATTCTCGATTCACTTGCCCATCTCTACCGCTGACTAGAAAATCACAAGCAATGTGTAGGACACTATTATTTATTTATTTATTTAAACCCTGCCGTGCCTTTTAGGTAATATAGGGGTCTGCAGTAGTAAGATGTTAGGTATGTAAGGAATTTCAAAAAGAATATAGCATGAATGACGAAGGATTTTCTGAAGGAAGTGGTTTTACGGGAGGAAATATATAGATCTATAGGTTGAGATCTGGCATTAAGAGATTGAATAGAAGAACATAGAGTAAGGAGTTCTAGGATGTACGAAGAATTTTCGGTTCTGAGAACTTGGATAGAAGATAATAGGATAGAGCCACTTAAACTCGGTGTACCAGCAGGAGACTAGGTAACGACTGAGAATCTCAAAGATAAATCTTTTAAAGCAATTCATGAGTCTTTTCATTCTCATCTCCAGCCTTGCGGACACCAAGAAACCGTGGTCGAAGTGGAGAAAAACAAAGGAAGTTACAAGATGACTGGTTTTGTCAGGAATAGAATCACGGATTTTTAACAGTTGTTTAAGGATAGTTATGGATTTTCGGGTAATATGGAAAATGTGGTTACTCCAAGATTTTTGACTGAGGAAATGATTAGGGCGGTTATTGAGATAAAGTAGAGGAGAGTAAGGAAGGGAGCTAATGAGGTCCCTGCAACCGATGAGGATAGCCTTAGTTGTATCTGCATTCAGCTTCTATTCATTTATTTCTTTCCACCTGTGGATACGATTCATATCCTCTTATAGCTTTCAAGTGACCTCAGGCATCTAAGGAGGCTGGAACAATAAGTAAATTTGGAAATCATCTGCATGTAAGGGATAACAGGAGTGATGAATGCAATCAGCAAGGTCTCTAATATAAATAGAAAAAGAGTAGGAGAGTGAAGAGTCCTGAGTAACACCTCGTATTAATTGAAGGGAGGAAAATGGAGATTTGGAGGAATAACTTCTGTCTGGGATCGATGTGATATGATGTGAGAAAAATCATTTCAAAACCCTATTTGATAGGAGCAGGCTTTGGAGTTTGGAGACGAAGATAATATGACTGGCAGAATCGAAGGCTTTTGAAAAGTCGATTAGGACTCAAGACTTGGGAAAAGGGGGATAGAGATTATCTGTTTATATATGAAGAATTGTAGGTCTTGAATAATAATCTTTTTCGAGGCAGATTGGATAGAATATTGGGAACGAAAACAGGATCGTAAAAGATTGAGGAGACGGCTTTGCTCGAGAAAGTTATTTAATTGAAAGTGAACTAATCTTTCTAAAAACTTGATTAAAATGGGTTTGAAGTCGGAAGCTTATGGAGAAGCTGGGGCTTTGTTCAATACCCGTTTTTTGTAAGCTTTTAAAAATATGTGAATTTGGAGAGAAATTTTAAAAGTGCAGAATGTAAGGCTGGAAGACAAGGTTTGATGATTTTCACAGATATTTGGTCCAGACCATACTTGTTGGTTTTGGATTTAAGGATGGTAGGGAGTAGGTCTTTGTCTTTTCTTATTTACTAAAATATAAATATATATGGAGTTTAGCAAATGTCATGTAAATGCTATTCTTATGAAGCTAAGTATTATAAACTATTTTTCCGTGCATTCAACCAGTTTCAAAATTAGCTCTTTACTTAAATTTAATAGAGTGCTTTGTTGCATGGAAAAGAAGGTTTAAATTTTAGTCAAATTTAGTTGATAATTTGAAATAATAGTCCTTAATTAAGTATATATTAAGTTATATTGTTATTAATCGTTTATTATTAAGTATATACTACGGATGTATATATGGAGACTGATGGAATCAGAAGAATAAAAATATCTGACTTACGTAAGTCTTAAGTGTATATCTGCTAAACAAAATGCTGAAATGCAATAAATAATAAGATAATCTTACGCTAATATTCGCCTATCAACCGTAACTCTTAAGTGCTGTTGGCTACGAGTAAACTAATTCTTATAAACTAATTCGATGCATTATGTTATCTGTCATTTCAATGGTATTTTTAAACCACCATAGGTGAGATTATGGTAGGAGCGACAAACTACTATGGATTCACACGATCTGAACAATTGGGTTAAGGCTTTACTAAATAGAAGTGATTTCATGAGGAAAGTTCCTTTTTTTGTAAGCTCACTGCATTAGTTGACGCGCCAGGTTATGGTTCCTGTATTGACATTTTGAATTCTTGTTTGTCATATTTATTTTGTCATGGCACAACAAATAACTTCACTATTGTTTATACAATGTGATTGGAGTAATATTCTCAGGTAGCTCAAATAAGTTCAATTATTTATCCCTAATTCAAAGTGTATGACTATTATCTCACCCTTCAACATAATTTGTATTGAAATTTTCTAGTGAAGTTGGAGCAGAGGCCTGGGTTTCTTGCAAACACAAAGGTATATTGACTTTGTGTATTTAGCTTGATAGAAGTTGTATTAAACATTTTAGGATATGACTTTGATATGATAATATATTAGTAACATATAGTTTGAACTTTTGATTTAATATCAAGTCTATTGTATTATCTTAAGTTACTAGCTAAGTCCTAATGATTCACCCATATTCCATATTGCTGTTTCATGAATCTTTTGATTTTCATTATGTGAAGAGCCAATCACTAAAAAAGAAGTTGATTTGACTGAGGGTGTCTTCAGTTTAATAGTGTTATCATAAATTTTTTACAAATGAAATTTGGTCTAAACTAAAGAAAACTATCGCAAAATATTTGTTTAAATATCAGAGGTTGTGATGGACAAGTATTAAAATATCAAACTGGCTGGAACAAATATGGCCTTGTTGAATTTAATTGAGAGGTTCTCAATCACTACAGATAAAGGCATAAGTCAGGAGACGCTCTGACCTGTTCACTTCAGACAATAGAAATAAGGTATTAATCTCTACCAACTTATGGCCTATGCAAGCATTTTTAGTCTTCACAGAACTAAGATTAGAAGTAAATAACTCAAAAACTAAGTACACTGTCTGGGAAAGCACTGTTGGAATGAGAAATAGTGACAGTTGGCTCATATAGCTATAAAAATAAAACTCAGTTGACAAATTTTGGTTTGATTATAACATAGAACAATGTAGTTGAAAAGGAGATTAAGAATAATTCTTTTTTTGTCAACTGTTGTTGGAGTTCATAGACACTTCACGAGCCACCACCTTTTCAGACAAGCAAAAATATTAGGGCAGGGCATTATAGTTTCTTTACATTTATAGTTTATATCCTCCCCATAGAGTCAAATGTTTGGTAATAGAAACTATTCCAATATGTCGCATTAAGAAAATTGGTAAAAGGATGAAGTTGTTTTATTAAAAATATTCCTATCAATATATAGAAGTGAACAAGAAGAAGCCTTCTAGGTAAAATAAAATACAGTCTCAAATAATGATGATGGAAACTGTTCCGATGTCACATTATGGGTACTATTTCACTGGTACTACCCATGGCAGCAACTACTAGGGTATGATGTCAGTCATATCTATACTGCTGTTTTCTGACCGCTTCTGAAGCAGTGAAGCTGTTGGCAGTACAATGTTTATAGGTTATGTTCTTATATCGGAGCACTGTTTTGATGATAACAGTCATGTTGATACATTTCATTTTCTGTTTTTTTTTTTCAACAAGTCTAGCAAAATTAAATGAAATATTATTTAAAACTTAAACAAAGCTATTGTAAATAATTTTTTAAGGTTGAAATAACAAGATTATTTATTTATTATAACACCAATAGTATTTTATACAGAAAGAATTTCTATCTATATTAGAAAATGTATAGAGTGTATATTAGAAAATATACCTTAATCCAAACGACATTAAATAATCCAACAAATTTTAATGTCAGATGAATACTAAAATCCACACATTGAAAAATCAATTGGTATTTTTTAATTGAAGTGCTGATTTACTGATTACATATTGATAAATCGGTAAAATGTTGCCTGCTGTGATTTCATAACAAATATATGATATTTATTACTAATCAATTATTTGATTATTTTTGTTACTTATCAAACTAATAATTAGTAATAAATTTAAGTTTGAGATAAATCCTCAGTTCTTAAAATAATAATAAGATATATTCAAAATATTACAAGAAACAATCATTTTGTAGAAGGTGGAAATTAATATGTGAATAATTGTTAACATTTCATACTATAGAGAAAACATAACCTTGATAACATCGAAACTCCACCATCAAATCTATTGCTATCTTCTATTGCTTTTGATACAAATAAAAACTATTAAATTTAACGCTAAAATTTTTTTTTCATTATATCAAACTAGGACGCTAAATTGAGAAGATTTGGTCGCGACGATGAGCAATTTCATCAAACTAGACAAGCATTAGCGGTTGGAACTATGGAATAGCAGTCGCTGCTGTGGGCAGTATCCACGAAATAGCACCATAAGATAATAAGTGGATAAAACTATTTAGGCGGTGTTACTTAAAATATCTCAAGCAATATTTAAAATTTAAACAAAAAATGATTATGGAAAAGCCTTCAAGACAAATAAGAATCCAACTGAAATAATTTTCTTATGAATATTTTTACACCTGCAGTTATGCTGATGGAAAAAAATTTCCTTTTCTTTTTTTTATAGGAAAAAATACAAAATCTACAATGGCCCCAGTTATTATCTCTTAAACTAATATTATCAAATTAAATTAAGAAAATTACAATCTTAGAAATTGAATGACATACCCATTTCTATCCTTTTTTTTTTTTTTTTTTTGCCAAAAAGTTCAAATAATACTATATATCGTCCTTGTTTTCACGTTCATGGAAATGAACATCATTTATATTAATACATAGATGTACTTTCCCGTAAATAAAGTTTATAATTGATTATTTAATAATTTAGTAGCCTCCTCAATCAGCTCCTTCTAAATGTTGCCCTCTCTGGAAATCACCATCCAGTCTGTAGCTGAAATATAATTTTCCACGCCATCAAAGTTTTGGCTTTCCTCACCGTCTCCTACCATTGAGGTGTTCTATCAGGACATCATATATATTGCAATAGTAGATATTAATTGTAATAGAATATTGGCTTCCATGTTTAAAATGTAATGAGGTGGATTCAAATGTAAAAAATATGTTGAGTTTTTCTATTTATTCGAAACTATGATATCCACAAACTTAACTAACATAATGAATTATTGATCGCACAGGAGAATTATTAACATAAATTTTTTTTATTAATAGTATTTCATTTTTGTTTAATAGGTTGTATTTGAAGAAAATTTCAAAAATATTTAACTTATCTGTTATGTATGCACACACACATATATATATACACTGACAGGCAAAAAATTCCACCCAATTGATTTTTTCATGTTTTCGTCTAAAAATATTTCTGCTTTGGATTGGTCTATTGTTTTTAATGAATAAATAGGTAATCTTTTTGTTTGTTTTCAATTAGGAATGTTAATATAGAGGAAAATAACCCTTAATCCTTAATTCAATGAAATGATTCTAGATTCCAATGTTTACTTTCTATGGAATCAAAATGTTCATTCAGTATCATTAGTTCAGTGCCGTTTTTTGCAGCACATTTCTTAGTCTCCGGCTTTTAATTTTTTCAATATTAAGTTTAAAAATTCCTCTTAGTGCTGAGGATGTTGCGCGTGGTGTGGCACTTATTGATGATGGACGTTCCATTAGATATGCAGCTAAAGCCATCGGAGTTCCATATGAAACTTTATGAGACGCCGTCAGGCGTTTTCGGGAAACTGGTTCTTACAATAGAAGGCCCAGTTCTGGACGGCCTAGGGTAACAGAACCACGAGATGACCGGTTTTTGACTTTGAGGATTTTACGAAACCGGCACCTTACCGTTGTTCAAGCGATTCATCAGCTCGAAGAAGTTGGAGGTGTGCAAATTTCTGAACGTACCGCTCGGAGAAGATTAAATGAGTATGGATAAATGGCTTTTCGTCGAGTAAGAGGACCAGAGTTGACCAGAACTCACAGAGTAACACGGCTGGCTTTTGCTCGAGAACACAGCCATTGGACTATGGACGAATGGAGTGCTGTACTTTTTACAGATGAGTCAAGATTTTTCAATTTTTTTTTCTCTAATCTTTCTTACCCAATCACATTTTGATTATTAAAGGTAAAAAAGATTATAAAATTCCATAAATACTAAGTATTATCTACAAATACCATGTATTATATACAAATACAACATTACAGAAATATTTTTAGATGAAAACATTGGAAAATCAAGTGGGTGGAATTTTTTGCCTGTCAGTTTTTTGCCTGTGTACCCATTTCTCTGATATATATATAATATATATGAGAAATGGGTTTTCAATTTACAAAGAGGTCTCAAACCTATTCCTAGATAGTTATCGTGTACTATTTCCAAACAGCTTGCTTGTTTTCCATTTCTTATTCTTTCCTAATTTTCCTCCATTGTGAAATAATATAATTTTAATATCTTCCAAGTGGACTGACAAATTCCACAAGCTATTATATTGCTTATTATGGTTTGAAGAACATAAAAATATGAGATTCATATTCATCTTCAGTTTAGTTCAGACTTTTACGTTTGTTATGTTGTAGATAATCCAGGAATTCATGGCAAAATTCGAACTGTTACTAGTCTTCCTAGTAAACCTTCTCTGACTATTTCAGAAGGTTTTAAAATAGAAGATTTAACACGCAGCAGTATTATAATAAAACATGAAAATTCTTATTCCACTGTATTTCTTGCTCCTCATCGAATTTACAAAGGAATACATAAAGGCAGTGTAAGTTATTTCATTTATGTATACTAATTAAAAATATGACCTTATTAAATTAGAAAAATAAATAGTCCTGTGATAATAAAAGAAATGAAGAATGAGCTAATAGTATATGTGTAAGCTTCTTAAAATTTATTTTGTAAAGTTACTTTATAGTTATTTTTAGTCAGTGTTGAAATTTTAATATTTATTTACATTTTCTTTATTTTTGTTGTTTTATCTTTAATATTTTTTATACTGTTTTTTTTTCATTATCTTTTTTGTCTTACTTTTTTTTTTAAATACAAATTGGTGAATGTTTTGAGAAAGTTAATAGCTTTTGATTTCCTACAACCTTAATTTTCTGGAGAACACATTATACCTTTCTTTTCCATACTTGTGTATTTCCCCCCAATCCCTGCTTAATATTTCCTTATCTAAGTTACCTATAATTTTTAACTCTTAATCACTGAAATGCTATCGGTTTTAATAATACAATTCATTTTATTGCATTAACTTTAAGTAAATTAAAATTTATCTCTAGAAACTTTTATAATTATATTCAATTTAGATTGTCAAGCTGTTTCATTTTTTGTGCGTTTTGGTTGATCACACCAAGGTTTTGAAAAAAAGAAACCGTTTATTTTTATGACTCTTAATTCAATTTTCTTACGTCGGACTGACATTGCTTTTAATTAAATTAAAAAATCCAAAACTTTTAAACTGAATCTACTGAGATAAGTTTGAATAAAGGACTATCAAAATCATTTTAATATTGTAATATTTAAAATAGTAGAAAAGATTTGATAAACTAATTAAGTGTTACACCTTTTTTTAAGTTGGTGTGTATGATTTAAATGAATTATTAACAAAAGAAATTGAAGTGAATAATCATTGGACTTGACTAGTATATGTGGAATTATATCTTTTTACTTTCACTTACATATATATATATGTAATATATAGTAAGGGTAAGTATTGCGATCGAGAAAATTTTTTAAACTGAGTTTTCAATGAAAATACACGTTTTGGGGTATTTTGAGTCCAAATAACCAGTCCCAAAAAATGGTGTGTGTGTGTGTGTATGTTAGCAGTCTCACTCAAAAACAGAAAGTCCTACGAAACTGATATTACATATTTAAGATAGGTATATGCCTTAGATGTGACAGCAACTTTTCCCTTCAAATCGGCCAGCCGGAAGTGTCACTTTATATCAACGCTGAAACACAATTTTCTCAAAAACGGCTCCAACGATTTTGATTAAACTCGGTGTATCATTGTATAATTAAGTGATCTTAAATATCAATTAGGTCTTATCCCCATTGATGTCACTTTACAGGGCTTAAATGCCCAATGTTTATATATGTCTTCCTCTAAAGTAGCTTTAATATCATTTATTTTAAAAAGTTTATCATTTCACATTATTCTGAGTTACAAAAAAATGCTAAATATAACTTTTGAAAGAATTTGATAAGTTAATAAAGGAGAAAAAAATAAAAATGCTTATCCAGATCGAAAATGAATCTCTGGAAATATTAGTCAGAAGGTATACGTATAATATATCATTGGAAAGCGGAGAATTTTAGAAAAAACAATATCTAATATAGAAAGTTGCAGAAGGTAACAGAGAGTGGCAAAAAAATTATAAATAATAATTTTTGAAAACTAATAATATTTAACGTAAATCGCATGTTTTTAAGGAAATTAAATGAATTTTACTAACTAAATGTAAATTTTTAAAATATTTTATAAGTTTGGAAAAAGTATTTAAAATCCATCCAATCGAGCCATTGTTTAAAATACTATTTCATTGTACTTGTGTTAAAGAAGAAGTGAAATATAAAAATATTTCATGGATATGTTTATAACCTCAAATATATTTACTATAGAGTATTAACTCTAGATAAGATATATTTAAATAATTAGGCATCTATGGGCCGTTTATTTCAAAAAACCATCAAGTAACCTTTTAGAAAATTAAATTAATGAACAATTTGATGAATTTTCCCTTTGTGAAATCCCAACATTATCCACTTATAATTAGTGTGACAACTTTTGACCTATCCATAGCAAGGCAATGAAAATCTTGTAATTTTGTTTTAGTAAACTTTACAATGGAAAATAACAGGTTAATAACTAATAGTCCTACTATCCATAATCATTTGTAGGTTAAATATTCAGATATACTTTCAAACCTCTGTAGGTATATATGAGCCTTTCAGTTGACAGAATGACTAACTCCAATTTCAACTTTCTTTATTATTAATTTTAGTGATGTTTCTAGTGGCAAAATTTATGCCATAATTCACAGTTCTATATTTCAACACTGCAATCACCTGCTCCGGGATCAACTTACTCACTGTCTGTATAGATAACTTTTTCAACTAGAAATATCACTAAAATGATATTACTAAAAAATGTTGAAATTGGAGTTAGTCATTCTGTGGTTTATAAAAGCAAAGAAAGTTGTGTGGTTTATAACAGCAGATGAAATGACTAGATTTTTATTGCCTACCGTCGATATTATAAATAGACTTTTTGTAATTATACTGGTCTTAATGATTTGTTATATGTATGCTTTAAGCTTTAGCTCCGTTTAAAAAGCAATCCAAAAATTTTATAACAGCCCAGCATTACCAGAAAATAATTTCTATTCCAAGTAGAGTATTAAGTGAAAGTTGTGTGTTGGGCGCATCAGATTTTTAGATACAGTGGATTGATTTCACTCTGCTAAATGCTGTCAAATTTAAGTTGAATTTCATAATGAGTGTTCATTTCCAGATGGCTCAAGTGCATTTTATGGAAAACTAGCCATGGGGAAAATATACATATATAGAAAAATATATATAAAATTACTAATATTAGATTCTTAAAGGGTGTATAAATTGTCATTATAAATTTATTATATCGAGGGATAATAAAAAAAAAAAAACTTTTTTGTTCAAACGACTATTGCATTTTTATCTCCTTTTTTTTACATCTGATAATGTTTCAGGCCAATCCTTCCATTTTCAAGTCTTAGAATCATATCTATAATCTTGATAACAATATTAATGTACAATTTTTTTTTTAAAATGTACTGGATGTCCCGTAAGTAGAGGGAAATATTTAAACGGGTGATAATAGACTTTGTATACTACAAAAAAGTTCATATTAACTTACCCTATACCCTATTACCATATATCGCACCAGATTTTTTTTTAATGCGCACATTTTAAAATTTTTAATTGGGATGCCAAGTCTATATTTTGGTTCTACACAATAATCATTACATATGCCAAGGTTCATATAAATTACTTTGAACGTTTATTTTTATGTCTATTATTCTATCTATTATACAATTTTTTCGTGCAGATTGAATCACTAGATGTTACTAACGAAGGTCTAGCAGTTTCCTCATCATCTGCAGGCCAGCTATTGGTTTGGGATACTAGAACAGGAGAAACAAAGGTGGTTAGAATAATAACCTTCTGAGGATTATATTGTATTTACAAATAAACACTTTTAACTATTTGAATGTTTTAGATAACACTATCTGGGCATGTGTCTGAGATTTATAAATGTCGATTCTTTCCATCAGGGAAAGTGGTCTTGTCTTGTGGTTCTGATATGTCCCTAAAAATTTGGTGTGCTAAAACAGGAATATGCCCTGTTACACTTACTGGACATAAAATGGCTGTTACTGATATTGATTTTGTAAACCGAGGAAAAAATGTTGTTTCAAGTAGCAAGTAAGCTTATAAGATAGCTTTTTTATCTATTTATTGATGTTAATAGTTAGTATTTGAAGGTTTATTATGAAAAAAAGAATATTAATTCATAAAATATAAGGAATAATGTTTGGGAGCGCAATCAAAAATAAGTATAATAAAAAAATAGCCTCAACAGTTTTAATGATATAATATATGTGTACAATGTACACAATTTTGTTGAATGCCAACATTTCGTCATCTTTCACGAACAGAATAGCAATAAGTCATGATAAGTAATAGCAATAAGTAAGAAATAAAAGACGTGAGCAGCAGAGCTCTATCACTAAGGTTCTTTTTCCATTTATTTTTAATTTAAAAAAAATAGACAGGGATTAAATTGTTTCATTGGCATTAAATAGAGAAATAAAAGCTTTGCAAATTATTACCTAATAATATTAATAATAGTAATACTTTATTTATTCTGGGACGAGTCCCTTTAGAATAATACAGAAAGACAGAAATGTGGGCTAAGTAGTCTCAGGGATACATAAATGAAAATATAGAGTAATTAAATAGTCATAATAAAAAAATTATAAGTTACTTTCTAAATATAATCAGTTAATAATAAACAATAAAAAATTGAAAAAACGTGAAGTAAAAATAATGAAGAACGATCTAATAATTTATATTCACATTTACAGTAGTATCTATTTACAATTTTATGGGGACTGGATGGATAAAAAGTGATTGAACAGGTGGGATTTAAAAGTAGGAAGGGTATTGGACTTATGGATGTGGGAAGGGATGGATTTCCCTTAGGATGAGGATTGGATAATGAACAATTTGTCAAAAGCATCAGTTTGTTAGGCCTGGGCCCTTGTGTATAAATCTGAAGACCGGGAACGAACAGAGGATTTGAATTGAAGGGGCTCAGAGATGTATGAAGCATGGTGGGATTGGATAACTTGAAAGAGGAAGGATTCCAGGAAATACTTACAACGGTAGGAAGGATAAAGGCACTTCAACTCTGCATAAAAACGTAAAGCAGAGGTGTCCCCGAAAATGTATCTTACTAAGCAATTTATCAAACATTTTAGTTTCGTCTCGAGATCCCCAGAGTTGCCCGCATTCCCCATACAGCAATAGTCAAAGTGGGAAAATATTTAGGAAGTGAACTGGAGCTTATGGGTTGCAAGGGGAAATAGGTGACGGGAGTAATTTAGACGTTTTGAGGTGGAAATGGTACGGCAGGAGATATTGGATACATGGTTTTTCCAGGGAAGCGTTTGTTCATAGGTTATTCCAAGAGGAGTGACAAAATTTGATGATCTTCATGTAGAAACAGAGTTGGAATATTGGAAATAGTTATAAGGTAAATGGAGCCTATTAAGATTGCCTTCGTCTTTTCCGCATTCAGCTTCAACTTGTTAACTCTCGCCCAGTCACAAATTCTATCCAAGCCTTCTTGAAGTTTTTCTGTGGCTGATAAAAGGTCGGAGGGAGCAAATAGAATAAGAGATAGAGAGGAACTTTGAGGGACACCACAGAAGAGGAGGAGTTTCTTCGATGGAGGTTGTCCTGGAACGATTACATACTGGAACCAATCAGAAAAGAAGGATTTAAACCAATGCAGAGCACTGTTGGATAGAGGAATATTGTGCAATATAATAAGGACGATGTTATGGTCAACTGTGTTAAACGCTTTAGAAAAATCTAGAAGGATGAAGATTGCAAGGTTTTGGTGCTCAATGGAGTTTTGGAGGTCGTAGGTTATTTTAAGGAGAGCAGATAGCATTGAGTAGCCAAATTGAAAGCCAGATTGGAATGGGTTGATAAGGGAATGTTCCTATAGGAAGTTGGAGATTTTATTATATTCAAATAGTTATAAGTTCAATATGTGTAGCCAACGACTTTTATGGCATTTGAAAATGTACTAAATTACCTGCAAAATAATAAAAAAAATCATTAAAATCAGACGATTTAGTAAATAGTTCTAAAGCTGACCATTATTTTGTCTTAAAGAAACTGTAAGACGGATCATTATAATTATTGGGCAGATTTCGAAGAAAGTTTTTTTAACGTTTAGGAAATTTAAATGTCTTTAAAATATATTCTGAACCACAAAGTGCACCCTTTTTGAGTTAAAAAATTTCTTTTATATTCCTCAAAACTCCTAGTCCTTTTTTGAGAAAGTATGTTATATACACAACTTTATAGTGTTCCGTGGGGAATACTTTAGGAAAGTTTCAATACCGTTACAGCCGTTTTAGTGCTGTAACGTATAGAATAACAGGTTTTTCTGCATCCATCTTGAAATAAAATGGCGGCTGATGATGTGACTCCCCAAAGGCACCTCTCCAACACCAGCTTACTATATTTACTGAATTTCAACCTTCAAACTTTGTTAGAAGGAGCTGTGGAGATGCACAATACTTTAAAAACAGGGAAAAAAATGTCAAAAAATATTGTTTGATGCCCATTTTTTTTCCCAAATCTTAATAGTATTGTTCCGCTTCGGAACAAATAATATATACCGAATTTCAGCTTATTCGGTCAAACAGGGACCGCTGCGGGAGCCGAAATGTGGGGGAAAAATATATATATATATATATATATATATATATATAAACTGACATCTTTAAAAATTACAAAATCGTGCTCTTGGGGTTCCAAAATGGAAATCGCAACTCTGCCTTCTGACGATTTTGGATACAGTGCAAATAGTCTATTATTTCTGAATGAAAATAGACAGTAAGTAAATGACTATTGACAATTAGGAGTAGTCATTAAATATTAGGTTTAATAAATTTACTGTTTTAATTGTTGATGCACCAATAACTATCGTCTCCTATTTATAATTCATTCAAATTTTATTATCATTTTACCTCAACTCTATGAAATACTGAAAATATATTTTTGTATAAATTTAGAGATGGTACCATAAAATTATGGCATTGTGGACAAGCTTCTTGTATTGACAATATTACTACTGTCACTTCAAATGTTAACTGTTGCAAAATATTTGAAGCACCAGCCTATTTAAATTTGGGGGAGCGTAAATCTCAAATAGGTAAGGAACTTTTTTATATTAATTTTTTTTTAATTTCTTTTAGTAGTTACAAAGTGGCCAAAAAAAAATCTGATCACTAATTTTTTTTTTATTAAACTGTCTTATTTATTGGATATTTATAAAGATTTCTAACCTATCCTCCTAATTATTTCAAGGGTTGATTTTAAACTTGGTTTTAATGGTGCTATGCCTAAGCCTGTTATGTAGGCTATTTTTAGGCTACATTGTTTTTTTTTCTCGCCCACCACCAGATACAAAGATATACATACATACTCTTTGTACTTTTTCCTTGTGCGGCCTGATAATAGCATTTTAAGGTAGGAACATGATAGATATGCATACATCTGTAACTGTTTTGGCATGAGGTCTTGTTGCTTACAATGAGCCAGGATGCTCTGCAGATTTGAAATCACAATTTCTATTGGGTATGGATTATAGGGTCTAGACCCCTTTCCTCGGTGAGTACGTCCATCTTGGGGACTTTACCTTGCCACCTCCCAGGCCTGGGTGTCATTTCAAGCCCTGGTAAATACTGTAAAAAATTAGTAGTAGAATAACAACAAAAGTTAAGTTTTTCTGAAAAACACTTAATCAACACTTAAAATTATAATTTGAAAAGGAGTTGATCAGGGGGAGGGAGAGAGGGGGGAGGGTGCGGTCAAATAAATACTAAATTACAAAAATAGTATTAATTTATTATGCCGACGTTTCGACCCACCTTGCAGGTCTTCATCAGGGCCTGGCATCAGACAGTCTATCAAATTGACAGTCTATCGCTGTCGCAGTCTATCAACTGCCTCCTGCAATACCTGATGCCAGGCCCCGATGAAGACCTGCAAGGTGGGTCAAAACGTCGGTGTGATAAATTAATTATACTATTTTTATAATTAAGGATTTATTTTACAGCATCACCCGATCAACTCCTCATATTATATCACGGTTAACCATCTCTACATCATTAAAATTACAATTGCTCCATTTCTTGAATGTTTGAAGAAATGATAGTGAAATAATATATATTTTTGAATTTTCGTAGAAAATTTAATGCTAAACAACTTTCTTCTCCATGTCTTTTTTGTAGATTGAAGACATATAGAGTTGTTTAGGCAAATGAAGATAAAAATATGAGGCAAGCTTTTTTTTTTTTTAAATCAGCAATTTTTTAGCACGGATATCTCCGAAACTGTGAGATAGTGAAAGAATTAATCGGAATTATAGTGAATTAATCGGATTATGGAAGAATTAATAATTGAACTTCTTTGAAAGTTATCAGCTTTAATTTTTTATAGAATGTCTTTAGTGCTAAGAAGCATGATATAAGCGTTGAACCAAAAAAAGTGACCTTCTGGGTTGCCCCCTCACATACAGCTCATTTCATAGGAGTGGGGACTTTTAGTAAGTTTAAATCCTAACTAGTCCAAATAATGTCTAATACTCAAAAATTGTGTTCCTTCTATTTTCCTCTATACTCCCTTTTTGAGTATTCATTGACTGAACTATATTACTTTAGTATCTATTACTATTTTCAGGATTTCAGACATCTTCTCTGGTTTCATAGCTAGAGAAGTCTTCTCTAGCTTCATATACATAATATAGTTTCCAGTTTTTCTTTTCCTTGAGATTTATTGAATTTATTGTATCTATCTTCTTTCATGTACTGAAGAGATATTACCAATTCCATTCAATCCTGCAGAATCCTAATCTGGATTGAGAAAATATATTACCAAACTCACAAACATGAAATAACACATTTATTGGAGTCTTATTCTTGACATAGTTGGCAAAGGCACTCCTTCAGAGTTCATTTAAGACACCCAATTACGATTACTTAGAGAAGACTTCTTTCACCTATCAAAGAAGTTGCTGTCAAACCTCCATATACGTATTTTTTTCCCTTGTCCATATAGTTCCTTTTGTTTGAATATTATGTCTCTAGTAGTAATAATAATCTCCAGTGATAATAATTACTACCAAATTACCAATACTAAATTTATGCAACTTATTTCATTTATGACATTTATCTTGAACACTATTGTGAATGTTAAATTAAATAATAACAATATATGTTAGTATGTTTAACATTAACTGTTAGTTTATTTACTAATAAAGATCTTTTTAAAAATTTAATTTAGATGATGCAGAAGTTGATACCGGAAACAAGATTTTATTATTTGGTTGCGAAGATGGAACTGTTCACTGCTATGGACTTGAAAGCCGTGAATGTCTCTTCAAAAAATCTGTAGAGTCTGCAGTGAATTGTATTGCCTTCGTTGGTAAAGACCATTTTGTTATAGGCTGCCAAAATGGACAAGTTAATCTGTATAATTTAAAAGACATAGATAGCTTTAAAACTTGGCATGAATCAAATAGTGCTGTATTAAATATCAAAGTTTACCAAAAAGCAGGATTTTTTATTTCAAGAGGAGATGGTACAGTTTTTTTCACTCCAGAAAATGGATATTTGAAACGGATATCACTTACAGGACCAAATTGTGATCCTGTGTATGATGTTGCTACGGATGGAAAAAATATTTATACTTGTTGTCGAGATGGTGTTGTAAGGTTGTACCACGTTGAAAATGCTGTAAATTATGTTACCAACAAATCATAAAATGAGATAAAACTGTGATATTTTAAATATGTTTATGATTGAGTCATATGTATTTTTTTTTTTTGTATTTCAAAAAGTTTTCACGGCTACATAAGAATGCTTTAGATTAACATGTAAATATTTCAAATAAAAAAATCTATGAAAGTTCAGTTGTTTGCCTTAAATCTCATTAATGTAGTATATTCACTATTTTCTGTTCCTTTCTGTTATTATAATGATTAGGCTTGTTAACATGGTTTATTACACTAGCTCTTAGTCACATTACAACAGTTATGGTATACTGTTTGCTTTTTTCTGCCAGACCTTTATGATATTCCAGCACTTATTTTTAAATTAAAATTTCATCATTAGTGAGTCTTTTTGGGGTGTGGGTAAACATTGTATCAGGAGATATTTGAATGAAGAAAGGAAAGGAGCATGGCATATATTAGATGGTAGGGAACAAAGCCGGCTTTTGACATTTATTTCCTTAGCTGTTATATATCAAGTAATATTTGAATTTTATTTTATTCAATATGTCTAATTCAATTATTTTATTAATAGACTAAAATTAGTTTTTCTCTTATGCTTTGTAATTTTATTTTTAGTTTTCACAATGGCGGATGCCCATGTGCTATTTCACGACACGGGTACAGAATTCCAAAAGGTCGTAGAGTGCTCAAAAAAGCAATTTTCAAATTTTATGTTCTGTACAAAAGGGTATAAAGATCAGAAACATGAAATCTCTTGATGTTTTCTAATATCGAGTACAGTAGAAATAACCCTGTATTCCATCCATGTACAATAAAAATTTAAAAAAAAAATTTTAATTATTGAGATCAATTTGATTTTAGTTAATATTCTACCTGATAAATACTGTGTAATAGGATATTTTAATTGGTCGCAATAACAACTAAAAGTTTTGAAAACAAAGATTAACACACTGATTGCCTTTTTTGTGGGTTGGAATAATAACATTGTATTCCCAATATTTCGGCATTGTTTTGGTGTCCCATACAGTCTGCTGTCCTTTGCAGCACTTTAATCATCTCATTTCTAATATATTTTGGTGGTGTTGTTCCTTCCTGCCACCTTGCCTGTCTTCAGCTGTTTAAGAGCCAGTTAGTTCTACTTGCTCTTCATTAATGGCATATTTACTAACTTTGTAGACCATCTGTTCCTTCATTCTCTAGTTGCTTCTTCATTAGCAAAGAAATCTAGCTAGTGTTTACCGCATATATCTAATATTATACATTGTTCTGTCAGCAGTTCACCATAACTTTCTTTTATATTTCTCACTGGCTTTGCTCTTTTCTCTTTCAGAATTCAACAAGTACTTCTTTTTAGCTGCTTTTGCCTCATTTCTTGCGTTTATATCCTTATTATAGTTATTGACCCTCTTATTCTGTTGAGGTCCACTATCACTCCTATAAATATTTCCCACTACTTGCGGGACACCCTCTATACAAATTCAAAATAGCAAGGATCAATGGAGTTGTTTCTTTTCAGATTGATGAAGGTTTCAAGCAGGATGATAGCCTGAGTCCACTCTTATTTATGGATGAAATCCATAAAAGTTGTAAAGGCGAACAGTTCTTGATAAGTGTAATATGAGAATGATAATCAGCTAGCCTCTCATTTGTGAAGAGAAAAAGCAGCAAGTTTTACTAGGATGATAGGAGAAACTTGAGCGAAAAGGGATGACCATAAATGCCTGTAAGGGTAAGGTGCCTCTCTCAAAACAAAAAGACTGTTGAAGTGGTTGAGAACTTTAACTACTTAGTCATCAATACGAATAAACAGGACAAAATTGATTAGGAAATAGCAAATAAAATTACAACCAAATATATAAATGCAAACTATTATTATAAATGCAACAGTATTGTTGACCATCGAGATGTGTGGTACAAAGCCAAGTTTCGTATTTTCAAATTAGGATACTGCCTTACTCTTATCTACAGGAGCGAGAGCTGAGTCTTATTTGACTAGCAGATAAGCAAAATTGACTAGCAGGAGTTGAAATGAAGTATTTACGTAGGGTTCCAGAAAAAAAAACAGAAGAGGCCGGGTAAGAAATTAAAATATTAGAGATAAGCTGGAAATTCCTATGTTGAAATCCACCCTTGAAGAAACACAGCTTTAGTGTTTCGGTCATATTTGTCGATTGAGCAACGATCGGAAAACCAGAAAGAGGGGTGCCCATCCCCCCAAGGTATATGGCACAAGAACATACTCCCTTCCCCAACTCCGGCCCAAGATATTTGATTGCACACCTTTTTTTTAAATGTAGGGCAAGGGAAAGCAGGATAAATCGTAGATTATACACAATTGCACTTGCTGCTGTTTGTTCCATGTTTTTCTAATGTCCCTCATTCTGAAACTTTTCATTCCAAATATTCACAATTCCGCTGAAATGTGCCCCCTCAAAATTTCAAAAATTTGTATGGCGCATCTTGTGCCGTAAATCCTCCTTCTGGACATCCCTACCCATAAAGGTGATGAAGTTCGACCTACTGACAAGAGACCACGCGCAAAGTCTAGAGTTTTATATGAGGAGTACGTCCAAAGGATTGGAGATACTATTCTCCAACAAATTAAGGCATCACATCATTGGATTGAGGTTTCTCCACGCTAGATAAAGAATAAAGAGAAAAATATGTCAATGAGAAAACCGAAATTTTTTAATTATTTATTTAGCAATGAAACAATATCAATAACAAGACACAATTTGGCTCATGTAACTGAAATATTTATAAATTAGAATCTTTCTCTTATTGGGGGATAGTCACGCTTTTTTACTTTCACTTACGTATATATGAAATATATAGTAAGTGTAAGTATTGCGATCGTGAAAATTTTCGAGTCTGAGTTTTCATCGGAAATAAACGTTTTGAGGTGCCTTGAGTCCAAATAACAAAGTGACGAAAAATGATCTGTGTGAAAAAAATAAAAATGGTTATCCAGGTCGAAAATGAATCGCCGGAAATACTAGTCAGAAGGTATACGTATAATATTGTTGGAGTTGGAGTGCGTAAAATTTTAGAAAAAACAATATCTAATATAGAAAGTTGTAAAAGGTAACGTTGTGTGTTGAGCTCACCAGATTTTTATCGTTTAAAGCAGAGGTCCCAAATCTTGTGATCGCGGGTGCTCGTCGTCTTAAAGTTTAGCTATTTAGCTCTATTACAAAAGTTATTATATCAAACTTTGTCGTCGTCAGTATAGGACTTCAGTATTGGTTGGGCCGAGGAGCGAAAAAAAAAACGTAGAATTCATAATTGTCACCGAGAAATATAGAATTTGAGCTATTCATATTATAGTGAGTAAAAGTTCTGGAATACAAGGAGCTCTATATATCGAGCTGTATTTTAGCAACAACTTTCGTGTTGATCTAGAAGATTAGTTAATTTAAAACATTGAAAATAAGGCAGTAATATATAATATATTTTTCATCAGAGCAATTTCATTTTTCATGTTTAAAAGGTATTTATTGAAAAATGGAGGAAGTATCAAGATTGAAGTACTAACGGTGTTGGGAGTAATTGGAAAACTTGGATTTTTCAATATTATACCAACACTGACAAATATAAAAAAATCACAATTGCCCTAATTTTTGTAATTATTCCTAAATTCTCAGGTAATTTGACTGCACTAAGGGGTGTTTTTAGTTTTCTTTTAAATGTTAATGTTTAATGTTGAACACTATTTCCTCAAATTCTGAAGAAATGTGATCAAGACTAATAGTATATTCCACTTAAAAGAATTTCTATTCATAATTTGTTCAAAAAGAAAATGAAAAAATAATTAAAAGTGGCAATGTTGTCCTGATTGATGGTATTTAAATCCTATTGAAGCTAAGTGGTTATTCGAATATAATATTATGAGTTATTGTTTCAGATACTATAGAAATCATTCTAATTTTTCTTATGAATTAAAATTATGAAAGTAATTTTTCTTCTGTTTTTTTTTCTTTTTCATTAATGATGTCATTCTAATAATGTGTGATTATTAAGCGTATCAGCTGTTTTTATTAGTTGGATTATAATAAGACGTCTGAACCCTGCTTGAACTTGAACTGAAACTTGATTGAAGTTTAATTTAATATTTATTTAATTTTGTTTTTAAAGTTAGCTATGTTTAGAAGAGAATGTGTATTGTGTTTGATCATCTTCCTGTCGAGTTTCTTGCTCCCTTGTGATTCCGTATGCAAGTGTGGGTATGGAAGCTATTGTGGAAAAGTAAAATCTCAATGTCTATGTGCTGAAATAAGCCCCGGTCTTTATGTTACTCCTAGTCCGGCCACCGCGTGCAATGAACTTGTTGATCATTGTAAGTCTTCTCCTTGCAAAAACGGTGGAACTTGCAATCCATCATTCGGTAGTTTTCATTGTACTTGTACTCCTGGTTATCATGGGCAGAGCTGCAATCTTCAATCAGGTAATAATTTTGTTCAAAACTGATGTATGACTTATTCTAAGCAATGTTTTGTTGCATGCTTTGATGAGAACACTGAACAACGCTATGAGAGAAAAAAAAAAGCTTGATCAGCAAAACTAAAACATGAAAAGTGATGTTTCACTTCTCTCGCGCCAAATCAATTCACATACAATTATTCACTCTCTGAATCAATTAGAATGGGCTATGGAAGTACACTAAACCTCAAAAACTTGGAAAAATCACGCGAACTTTCAGGAGACCTCCAAAAACACTAATCTAACTCAATCTCAATTTTCATACAAAATTAGAAATACAAAGACTCCTATAACTTTATTTGCAATAATCCATTGGAAAAGTTGAAATTAAAAACTAACATTAACCGCACCACTATGGCATTATTTTATCTTAGAAAACAACCCTTCTTCATACCCAATATCAGCTCGTTTGACCCAAATAAGGTCGGTTAAAAGTTTATTATAACCGATCTTCACTAAGCTATTTTTAACTTATATTAAGTTTAATAGTTTGAAATGGAAAGCACCTCAAAGTAGAATTAAAAATTTTGATTGGTCTGGCGTTTGATGCCGTTTGGCATCCCTTTTTTTTTCATTGTCCAATTGGAAATAAGTTGACAGGAGGCCAGCAACCAATTCCTAACTTGTTGTCATTAACATCGCAATCTTTAATCTCCAAACT